ATACTAGTCCAGCCAAATTTCCAATTATAAAATGAAATCGAACAACGAGGTGTGTATCTTTTGGGTGATTATTGGTGTACTGGGAACCCTCCTACCCATTGGATTCGGAAACAGTATGTTCTGCCTATTTAATATTGTAGTAGCCCTACAACGGTTTTATAAAGAATTTTTTATTCAATTTTTAATGTGTCAGGTAGCCAGTAGTTCATTAATAGGATTATTTGTATTATGCTGCAGTATACCATTCAGTTTACTAATATATATTTACACCTAATATAAGATGCACCAGTTGCAGGGATTGTATATTTTTCGGCAGTTTCCAGTTCAGTTCGGTATTAAATGCTTACGATAAACGAATAAAAAATTTCTTTTTGAGTAATCTCTGCTTATTTAACACTTTTTTATGGACTCTGTACCATCACAAACATGCATTTAACTGGCAACTTTGTGAATGTCATTAAATGTGTGAGCGCTTGAGACTATCAAGTCATGTAAAGTTGATTAATAATCATAATTATAATAGTCAATATTCATTTCTTTAAAAATGGCAGAGCCTAGAGAACCCGGACATCCTATGTGGATGATTCAAGAACAAAAGGGGTGAGACAACCACGGTCTAACACAGCCTTTCTTACATTATATTTTAGGCCAGTACGTAGATCCAATCTATTACCGGCCCCCATGCCCAGAAGAGAATTATGATTTGGACAATGGTAAGTTCACCGCAATTTAATACAAATTTCAATGATCTCTTCCACTATTTTAAATCTTAAGCTGATGTGTTATAAGAGAGTCGTCAGCGCAAATACTTCAAATGCTTCATTAGCCTTTTCACAGTCTACAAAAATAACCTAAGGGCTGTGAATGTCTACTTACCTAATTTAAATTAGACTGATTCACTTATCTTAGCTATCTCAGACCTGTCTACCTAGGCGTGTCTTCATAAAATGAACCTATCTAATTCGTTGTACTAGGTCTAGTGTTCTTTTAAGCATATTAAATTTTTCATTTCGCATGTCGAGCTACTTACTAAGAATATAAACTCAACTGAGTAAAAATAGAATATATTTCCTGAAGATAGAACCGACTTTATAATCCGACTTAAGACATGGAAACAGCTAGACTGCGAACTCATTTTAATATATGATGATGGGCAAGTAAAAGCGTGTCTTTGTTCGGGTCGAGTAAAATCTGAAATTTTGCCTTCATCATCCCGAAAGATAAATAGGGGACAATTCCTGGAACCAAGTTAAATTTAAGCTGACCTTTCGAAGACATTATCGTCCTCATCGTCAGATTCTGTTGTCTACGCTTCCGCAGGCCTCAAATGAATGCGTCTCACCGCCAGCCTTGTATTATAACCGTGTCTAAATTGGTCCCAGGAATTGCTCCCTTTTCTTCTTACTCATCCGGAGATGGTGAAGGCAATATGGCAATATGAACCTCAACTCTTAGCGCGTATTAATCTGAAATTGGTATATATCTAAGATCGAAACATTTTGTGGGTACTTTCAGAAACTGGTAACTTCCGATGCGCTGTTCCTACGGCGGCGGAATGCTTTGAACTCTGTCAGGAACTTGGGTGCAATGAGTGGTCTTTCCTCAGCTTCGTCTCGTCCACAAGCACTGAAAAGCTCGAACATCGCCGATGCAGATGCGTGCCAGAATTCAACTACTGCATGTACACCTTTATTCCCTCCAAGCTCCGCCTCTACACCTAGTGCACTCTGCTGTTTCTTGGTAAAACAACAGTAGACTCAAAGTTAGGCCTCTTACCTTCCAATCCATTCCAAACAATTTTGAGAGTTTAAAAAAAGATTATGCTTTCAAGAAGACAATGAATGTCCAAAGACAACTCCAGGAAAGTCTCGCCGCCCGTGTTTTGAAAGAAATCTTGGAACCCCCGCCCTGCTCTCCCTCCCTCCTCATTTCTGCCTTCTTATTTTACTCCCAATCTTTGGTTTCTTTCTCACCTCATGTATGAAACTTTGAGTTATATCTCTAACATGCGCATTTATCTACCGACAGTCGTTTCCTTGTTTGTTCACTGCCCAGCTGACGGTGCTTTGAAGATGAGCGTTGTGACTTTGTATCATTGTGGAACACCATTTATTTTAGAGATTTTATCATGAGATGTATTTACTTTTTTCACGCATTTGTTACAAATAAACTCCACAGATATAAAAGCCGGCTTTTTTTATTATCATCACTGAATATCAAAGCCTTATATGTGCCATGTGAATAGACAGACTGGTCGGTCTTATATAAAATCGGTTCCTGCCAGTTCACTTTCTGCAGATGTCAGCTTTTCTGTATCGGATGTGTTTGAGGGACCTGAAACGCCATTTCAGCAAACGTTTCGCTGGTTATTACGCAACTTTGGATATTTTTAATTCATTATAACTCTATCTTACATATGCAGTGCCCTCTGTTAGTCTCAAGTTCTCAAATTTAAATGGGTTTACCTATAAACTATTTTAAATAAGTGGTTTTATAATGCAGGCCGGAATTGCCGGCATATACTACTACTTTAGTTATCACAGCGTATTCTCCCGTATTTGGTCACATTCTGTGTCAGCAAACCTTTGTGCTTAATTTAGGTCGGAGTATTTTATAATGGATGATTAAGTTTTTTTAGTACTTATACTGTTTATCTCGCCATAGCTGGCACTTGGGTCGTTGTTTAAAGCGTGTTAGATGATAAATATATATCCTGAAAACGTAGTAAGTCCGCCATAGCGTACTTTAAATATAAATTTACATCGAATTAAGGTAAAATGAAACAGAAGTGATTGTCTTATTATGGGAAAAGTTGTCTGCTATGGAAAAAAGCAATTTCATGTAATAACAGTTTTATTCCAGAGTCCGCGCAATTCCGCGCCTCAAAATGGACGGATAATTTTACCAACTGTCCCTACTATTCAGAAATAAGTAATTTCTCCTCCCTGCGCTGTATTTGGCGTGGTCTGTGCCTCCTTGTAATATCCAAACGCACATCCTCCCCGTCTTCGCATAAAGTCTTTAAGTCATATACGATTCTGTATAATGCCTTCGAAATGGCAAGTTAGGCTAGGTGGCTGCTGCTGTAACACTGGCGCGCCTGTCTGAAAAACGTGCTGTTTTCCTTTTTCTGAAAACATGCATTCTGGCAATTTCTAACTCCTCATCACATCTGAAGGATCTGCGTTTCTTTCAGGCAAAATATACAAGTGCCGATAACTGGATTTAATGCTGTTTCAAGGAAAAAATGTTTTTTGTTTCGTTTTTCAACTTAATACAAGTTTTTGCCTTTTCTTCGGAAGTGTGATTTAGCTTCATCGGATATCTCGTCTGTTAACCCGAACACTTGAAACTACTGATTAACTACAAACAAAAGCATTTAGAATTCTCCCTGGTGAATAAAATAATGATACCTGGCAGACAAAGATATATAATCCAAAGGTATGCACGCCATAGTAATTCAGTAATTACGGCGAGAGAAGATTAATATACGATCACTGGAAAAAGAGTTTTATTTTCCTGACATTTTGGATTCTGTCGAGATTCCTTAATCATAGGTAATTGTAGAATAATATGAGACATATACATATGGAGTCGATACATGCACAGTTTGCACGATATTTATAGTATGTAGGGGTCATTTGCATGCGCACTATAATTATTGGTTCGCTTAGCCACCACTTGAAGTCTTAATTGGTGCGATGGTTGCTAGACACTTCGTTTTCGACTCATTAATTGCCGCGATTTCCTAGTCCATGTCGGATGCGGGCTTGGTAATTGCGCGACAATTATGCTCGTTGTGCCCACAGTTGTTGCTGGGCCCAGCCCTTCCCATATGACTGATTCTTTTGCTCAGGTAATGTCTCAGTACGCAGTATGGGAAAGACACAGCATTGCGCTTGTTGATGGACTGTGGGTTTGGGAACCGCTATGAACTATAAAAACCGTGCAATCTGTGCGTGTATCACTCCCAGCTGCGCCTGTCTTACACTGTTCTACAGTTACCTATGATTACGGATTGTTGACAGAAATCGCAACGTCAAGAAAATAAAATTTCTCTTCCAGTGATCGTATCATTTTCTTCTGAACTGCTTCCCAGAACTCGCATTTTCACTTCTGTCGGCAATTACAGCGTCAATTGATAAATCTGATTGATATTATTAAGCATGCTGTGAATGTTCACAATATAGTACTTACTGATGGCTTATTAGCCTAAAAGCATCTCCGCGTTGTGTTTTCATGCACTCATCCCTGCTGCATAAAAAGTTCTTCCCAATCACAAATTTAACACAAAGAGGTGTGTGTTTAACTCACTTCACTAAGTTCGTCAATTAACTCCTTAGGCATGGCAAGTGCACTTCCATTCTGCAGCACACGCGGCTACAATGAACCCAGCTGCCGTTTAGAAGATCAGAGGAGTCCGCTACAGTCTCTGTTATCATTCCCAAGCAGAAAGCTGAATGCTTTTGAACACCTGTGCTGCCCACTCTCTCTTCCTCTAATCTTGATAACTGACAAAAAATGGGGATGTTTGGGGATTGCAATTGTTTGCAAATGCAATTGGCTCTAACCAATGTTGGCCAGCACTGTTGTTAGAAGCCCAGTTAAAGGCCGCAGTTAACATTATTTCAGAAAAAGTATAGGCATCCTTTTTCTTCACATATTCAGAATTTATTCCCTTAAGTGTAGGAAGGGCAAACATAGGTAGAAGTCTGAGTGAAAAATAAACTTATCTTTAACATTTTATTACTGCAAATTTGATATTTTTCTAAAAACAATAAAAAAATGTAGCTGAGTGATTAGGCCGATGCTGCTAACGTTGGATGGATCATTTTAAAACATATCAGGCAAAAAAGGTTTTGTACCAGCCTAGACGTCTTAGGAATTACAGAGGTTAACTTGACGTGGCTCCAAGCAACGTATTTACTGTGACATCTGTCGCAGTGCTTTGGGATAGGTGCATATTTAATTACTTTATAAATCGACATGATACTATCTGGCAACTCTTTGAAGTTTGCAGAGTTTATTTGCGTTTTATCTATACTTTTACGCCATTCGTCGTGAAAATTATTATTAATCCACTGAAAATATGAATAACATCGAACATGATGAAATTTTGTCTTTTTTACCGAACGTTTAAAATCATTAAAGAGCAAAGATTTTTTGGAGGAAGGCATTACTAAAAACGTGAATCAATGTAAAAAAACAGAGTTCTTAAAAGGGGACGCATTATAAATCCGACCGCTTGCAAAGTTTGCTTAAATTGCAAAAGCCATACGAATGTTTACAATGCGCTGCGCACATCCAATTTAGTGGACATTCCAAAGCTTAAACTATTGCATTTGCCGCATTCAGGTCAGTTTTGGTAACGGATTCGTTTCCTCATCCACACAAACGTCACGTGATAGTGACTCAGAAACGCAACTGGTTTAACAACTCTGTCACCCAAGATGCGATGTTTGGTGTATCACTGAAATACCGATATTGACGCAATAACTGAACAATCGCGCTCTTAGATTTAGTCAAGGCGACATATTTTATGTAATTAAATATTTAAATGAAAGTGGAAGATTCAGTTTCATTTCACGTGTCTGCTTCAGGAATAACATAAAGTTTTAAGTGGCAGTCATCTTTTCCTGAATTTTATAGAGGAACAGCAAATTGAATTTTTATTTAAGCTTATTTCCGCCAGCTTGTCTTGGTCAGCTAACACTGGAGGACTCATTGGCTTGACAGTGGACAATTGCGTGGAGGAAGTACTCAACTGAAGGTGGTGGTTGGGGATCGAACCCGTAAAACCAATTGAGCAGACGAACTCTTCAGTAATATTTTGTAATATATTTTACAAATTGTTGGATCTCGGACATGGCGTCATTGGTTAACGAAAATTCAAGAAAGGGCTTATGTCGATAACATGAATCGCTAAATTTTTATTTTACTACAGTTCACTAAATTTCTGTCAGTATCTAATTAACAGTTCAGTGAAAAAGACCGATATCTTATACAATTGCAACACAATTATAACATTCATTTTAGCTAAACAGGGCTAATAACGAAAGGGAAAATTACATCTACAGACGACACAATTTACTGTAAAAGGTCCATACTGCAAACTACCGGATGTCAGCCATTAGCTTCAGTATATATTCGCGGGACACAAACTTGCCAAAAAAGTATTGATGCTCATGGAAGAGCAATTTATAAGTTTTTGTTGCAATAGACGGTAAAGGAGTTGTTTTGGTGGACAGTGGATTTATGTTAAGTTTAATTAAAAACAGTTTCTCTTAGAGATTTGCCATTTTTGTAACCATATTTGTTAGCAGTGAAGGCGCAAACCAGTCGTCTCAAGTTTTTTTCTGTAATTGTAGGCACACGTAAATCCCATATGTGAGGGAACTTTGAAAATATATATTTCTCCTACATGATTTAATGTTTCTGTCTTAATAATCCAGTTCTTCGTAGGGTTACCACCATTCCTAAACGAATTGTTGCAATACGATATGCCCAATATTGTTGGCTGAGGAGCTGTTTGAGTCGCATCTGACCAAATCTCTCATTATTTGCCTTCTTGAGTGCATATTAGATGTATAAAAATTGTGTCAACTAACTATTAACTGGTAAACGAATCTTAATATTGACCAAACAATATCAAAACATAATGAGCATTAGCAGTAACTTAAAGTGC